AAAAAAAAAAGAGAGAGAAAAAGTATTAATTTGGGCATCTGGCTTGGTCAGGTTATTTTTATTTCCTTGTAAAACAGTTTCTTGATTTGGTCTCAAATTTATGTTCCTGCTTCAGAGCAAAATATCTTAGTCTAAATGGAATAGAAATTTCTGCCATATGTGTTAAATCTTGAGTAGGAAGGTGGGGCTGTTTCTGTTCACTCTTGATTTTCTTTGCGTTCCAGCTTGATGGACTGAGTCTAAGGAATCAGAAAAGTTTGTGAAGTATAAACAGACTTATTGCAAATTCATGTCAGCGATTATAGGAATATAAAGAGTCAAATCTTGTATCTGCCTCAGGCTCTAGTTGGGAAAGCCAGACTGGATGATCCAGCACGGGACACAAGTGAATCATAGGCCATTTGTTTTTCTTATGGCTTATCTTGAGACCCCAAATGGATGTTGTCTATGCTTGTGTTTTTGATGTGTGCAGAGTTTTAAGTAAGCCATAGTTAGGACTGGGGCTATTTGCAATGGCTTATTTATCAGACGCAGCTGATCCTGGTGAAACATCTCTGTTCCTCCTCAGTTGCTTAGCATTTCTAGATTTGTCTTTGAGGGTTGCAGGGTGATCTTTACAGTTAATAGCGTTCGAGGAATTGCATCATTGACACCTTGGCTTTGTTGCAACCATTTTGTGACTAAGCAAAGAGCTGCTGAGTTGCAGTTTGTTCAGGAGAATGTAGTTAAGCCATGACTCAGTTTTCTGTCAAAACCTGGTATAGAGGGTCAGTTAGACTCAGGATAACTTTATTTGTTTCTGGAGTTCACCAGAACCCTCTGCTGACTGGTGATTTTCAGTATTTGAGATGAAAAGCTGCTGATATGTACGTCCAGGCTTGATTCAGATGCATGTCCAAGATGTTATTATGTTGCAATGGAGTGGTGATACCTCAGTATGGGGAAAATGCTATGGAGAGCAGAGGAAAACTAGGTTTGCACCAGTAACAGCGAGGAAACACGCACAAAGCTGTTGTACAGAGCAGAGGTCATGAAGTCGAAAGCAATAGAAGGAAAACTAAATTTAAGTAGCAGCTAATGGCTAAGAGGAAATATATTCCTGCAGAGGACAGCTGTGGCTATCCATGCTCAAGAAAGGAGACTTCATAGTGGGATGGGTACTGGAGAGAGTTCAATGGTAATGGGAAAAGTATGAGAATGTCTCGAGAGAGGATGGTATGAGTTTGTTAATCTTTCAAAAGAGAGGCTTGGCGGTGTGGGACAGGCGAAGGACAGGAACGATGCTGTTTCAAAAAACTAAAAATAGCCATACTGGGTCTGTCCCAATAGAATGTTTCTAAAGGGGTGTTGTGGAGCCCAAGGCAGAGGTCCAAGACGTGTGTGTGTAGAGCTCCTATGACTCTGGTTTACTCTTGCAGCTATCCATGGCTTAAAGCTTTTCTGAGCAGTTATCCTGGTTTTGTGACCAGCCTGAAAAAAGTCCTGAGGTTAAACCACGACAGCAGTAGATGCTATGTTTAATAGCTGGCAGTGATGGCTCTGTGAATTGCTTTAAAGCTTGTTTGAACCTGTTTATGCCTGAACTATGCTGGGGAAGAGGGAGATAAGCAGCAGGGAGGAAGATCGTCTCTTTAAGCTTACTGTTTATAAAAAAAAAAAAGGAATAAATTTGCTGTAAGAAAATTAAAGGTGGAAGTAGAAGAGAACTTCAGTGATGAGAACAGAGTGTCTCTGGAACAGTGTCTGAAGAATAACCATGGGGACAGTTTTTCTAATCTCTGGTTGGAATTGAATAAGCTTATGCAATGGGCTGTGGGATGTGATGATGGCAATAGTCTGCACTTTTCTATGGAATAGAAGCAACAACTGGAAACAACTCTACTTTTCATATATGGCAAAGCATTAGATAAGAACTTGTTATTTTATTCATGGGATTGCAGATGTTTGCTTTGCACATTTCCTTTCAAAATGTAAACACAAGATATTTCAGCATGCAGAGTTAAAGAAACAAAGAGGAAACAACTGAGAGTACACTGGGCTCATAACTTGTGAAGCCTGTAGAAAGGTAAAACCCAACCAAACAAATGCTTCACTCCCTGAGTTATATGAAAGCTGCCCAGCATCAGAACAGGGAAGATACAGACACTGTGAGCCAGGGGTCTGTGAGGGTACCCAGTGTGAGTGTGGTGGGTATCATTATCTGAGATAGAGATGTAAAGGAAACTGAAGATGGCAACTGTTTAATTAAAAGACAGAGGAGGCAGAGGAAAGATAGTGCTGAGAGATTAAGAAAATGGTGAGGCCAATATGTGGATGTGCTGCTGGATTAGGAAAACAAATGTTATCAATACTAGAAATCTATTAAAAGGCTTTTTCATGCAACTGTGTTCTTTGCTTTGGCATGTTCATTCTAAAATCCTTCTAACTGGAACCCACCAGGCCAGAAGAAAATGGAAAAATTAGTTTTTATATATGTTTGAGGAACATAGGCTGTGCTTGAGGAATGAGAAATGGGGTTTCTGGGGGATGAGCAATGGTTTAGAGATCCAATAAATTCAAGACTGAACTTTCTTGTATACTGAACTCAGAAGGGGTTTCTTTCTAACAGAAGCTTTATTGTTGCTGTCAGTAAAAAAACCCAAACATTCTCAGGACATATCTTCACTTAGGTCTATTTAAGGCTTTCAGAAAATGTTACATTGGAGTAAAATGAATTTGCAGGCTGGTAACGAATACAATCCTATATGCCTGTTGCCTCAGGATATATCTTCATTTCAGTCTGTGTAAGTCTTCCAGAAAATGTTGCATTGGAGTAAAATGAATTTTCAGGCTGGTCACCAATACAGTTCCATTTTCTATGCCTTGAAATTTTGGGTAGACACTTGGGGTTTTATTTCTTAGAATCAAAATGTGCTGTTTATCCATCTTCTATCTTTCAGTGCCTTTCTGTGGGAAATAAAAGGATCTCTTTCCCCAAGTCTGTTAGAATTAAGTTTGGTTATTTCTGCTGAGGGTGTTTTTCTTACCCTCTATATTTTTAAGAAACTGAGTATCTGATACAGTCAACAAATCTGTGGGACTGCAGTGATGAAATACTCAAATTCAGCAATGCTTTGTTGCAATCTGAAAGAAAATCCATTTGCAGACTGGTTCAGCAGGGCTGTTCCATAAATTGGCAATGTCTGAAGTGCAGTAAACTGGAATCAGTTATGGAATGTGTACTGCAGCCATCTGGTTTATGGCTCTGTTGGCACCAGGTTGTTTCTCTGAGAGGATGTTTCTCTATTGTAGATACTTAGAAGATATTATTCTGATGATGGGGCTCTTACCTTTTTATCATAAGCTCATAAATACTTGCTCCAGAAAAGATGTTCTCTTTTTAGCCTTCTGCTATTCTTGGAAGTACTTGAAATCTCTGCTGCACGGGTACGTTTCCTTTCTTACTTGGCTGAGTATGGATGGAGGGATGTCCTTTAAAATCCCCATAGCATGCAAAGCTTTTGGAAAAAGAAAGCTTTTATCTCTTGCCCTGAACACTGGTGTAGTACTAAAATACAATGGGTTAGGCAATGTTGGTATCAAAGGAAGAGTAAAGCTGAGGATGGATGTGTAGGATACCAAGGAACAGATGCAGAGAAGTAGGCGGAGTTATGAAGAGGATGGAAGGGAAGGACATTATGCTGGCAAGATCCTAGTGAAACAGGCCTGTACAGTTCTGGGCTAGCATTTGGAAAGCCATAGAAATCTGCTTCTGCAAGTGTGCCTTGGAGTTTTTGTAGTGATGCTAATCTAGTCCTCGATAGATTGCAGTTAAACCTGAGAAAAGAAATTGCCCTGGGATGTCAGAATCTGGTCCTCTGGAGATCTTGAAAATGAGGAAATGAGATCTCAAGCTTCAAACTACTGTTGAACATGAAATCTGTGTTGTCAGTGTGATTAGCCATATGCCTTTATTAGTGCTTTTTTATGGTGTGCTGGAGCAACAAACTTTGGAGAGCTTCACACGAG